TGAAACTAGCGGTCTCAGACAGTGTGGAGGAGGTAGAGGCCTCCGCCTGCTACGCCGCACCTCCCGACGGAGGCACGGGAAACAGGCGCGATAGATGGGCGAGTAAGGAAATGGCACGCAAAACTAGGGTTTTATTAATTCTTGCACCAACCCCCCCTTTACTGTTACAAGTGTTCCCTATTTATAGAGCTCAACTATCACTTTCACAGAGTTTATAGTAGTATCCCTCAACTGCTACAGTACATTCTTGGGATATTCCTCTACTCGCCTTCCGTCTCGGGGGTAATCTCACCATGCCGCCATCTCTGTACTAGGCTCAGATGATCAATCGCCCATCGGGCCTCGGGACTCAGCGATGGGCTTTAGGGCCTCCGCCAGTAGGTCTCCGCTCTGTCCGGCCTCGGGATCCGACGACGAGCCTTCGGCCTCCGCCTCTGCAGGAGTGCCGGCCGTGAGCCTCCGGCATCCCAGATCACCGATCTCCTGCTTGGGTCTTCGCCCGACGCAGGCGGAGACCATCTTTGCACTGCCAGCCCGATCCACGAGCGCCCTCATCCGGTTACCTGCACATACCCAAACAATGTTGGCATTTAACAAACCGTTCTCTTTCCCGGGTTTGGAGGCGTGGGAGCACAACCTCTATTTTGGTAACAGGTCGGAGATGCCCTCGTAACCTGCTGACTGCGTAGGTCTCCGCCACTCGCGGTGGCCATGTTACAACAATTAATAAAATTAATCACAACTTGAAATTGTCCGGCTACTAATGATCAACATATCAAAGTGGCAACATGTGAAATAAATAGAGGATAAAATAGCAAAATGGTAACAAAGCTTTCAACTTACAAGTTATTGGACAACTTTCCGATCCTTAATGCTTTGAAAATGAGTGATGATGTCCTCATCCTTAGCTTACATGAATAATTCCCTTTCAATCAATGTGACCAAGCAACCATTCAAATATTTCTGCCCTATCTTGCTGCTTCTCTTATTCTTTATCAAATTCATTATAGAAAAGACCCTCTTAACACCAGCAGTTGCAGCAGGGAGAACAAGCACCAATTTGAGAAATTTATAAACAATTTCATAAATTCACAAGCATTGGCAAATTGCAATCCCAATTACCAATTTTCCAATTTTACAGATTAAAAAATGCTCACGCCTCACCAATTTTAAAGAGTGCTCCGGGCCTCCGACTTGCATCTCATCACCGCTCTTTGCTACCTACTGCTCCCGTCCTCATGCTCTCATTGCTGCCCCCGCCATGCCGCCGCTGCCTGCCCCTTGTTGTGGCCTTGGTTTGCTGCCGGCTTCGTCTGCTGTGAACGCCCGTCTTGTGGTGGTCCTATGGCAAGGGCGCCACCGCCTTGCCGTTAGGGTTGCGGTCTTGCGGATGAGGAACAATAGAGCGTCAGGAGGACATAACGGATGAGAAACGAGCGCCTCAGGAGAACAGGAGATGAGGGGGACTGGAGGAGTCGGCCGACTGTGCCAATTGGGCCTTTTGGTTAGCGGCCCAGCGCGGGGATGGACACAGGGAGTTGGCCTTGGCTGATCTGGACCAATTGGGTTGAATTGTTTTTTATTTTTATGCATATACATAGATATGCTATATATACAAAAAAAAATTTGCAAAAATAATGGGTATTCAGTTGCATACACTTGAATACAAGTGGGCCCGCCCCTGCCAGGCAGTGTATGTCTACCACCTACCGGCCGCAAGCTGTTGAGTCAAATACATGTATGTATTTTCGATTTGTTTCACGTCGTGGAATGAAACTCTATCAACATGATCGCGAGGGATAATTGCGGCACGTGGATAAGTACGTGCTTCACCTTGCGTACGAAGGAAGGAAGGAGGCGGCTCTGGGTATCTCGCGCTCGCTAAGGGCGCGTTTAGTTCTAAAAAATTTTGGTTTTTGTCTATCACATTGAATTTTTGGACGCATATATGGAGCATTAAATATAGATGAAAAAAAACTAATTACACAGTTAGGTGAGAAATCGTGAGACAAAATTTTCGAACCTAATTAGTCCATAATTAAACACTAATTACCAAATACAAACAAAAATGCTACGATTTTTTCGCGAACTAAACGTGCCCTAAATTCCAGGCGGCGCGTGCGTGCGACCCAACAGGCCCGACGCTACCCTAGCCACTGCCTATATAAAGGAGCCTCGGGACCCTACGGAGAGGCTAATAAAAAATCGGCATGTGCACCCAGAAGAGGAAGGCGCAGCTATGACTTGAGATGGCGCTCACCTCCTCCATAGCTAAGAAACTAATCTAGTCATTGTTTCTTCCGATCTTGCTTTGCACATCAGCATACACGTTGTCCGGTGTCACGACACCGGCCGAGAAGAGAATGACACGGCAGCCAGATGATCAAGACGGCGCCGGACTGCGAGGAGACGGAGCATCGCCGGCGGGCTTCCGCTTGCCGGTGTCGGACGTGCCCGTGCTGTGGAGCCGGAGGCCGAGACGCGAACGCGGCCGCCAGGACAGGAACATCTACGTACAAGCAAGATGCCAAGGGAAGGAGAAGCCATGTGCGCGGCGCTCCAACGTCCGGTCTTCATCATCAACCACTTCATCAACTCCATGTGATCAAGTTCCACGGCGTATCACGATGATGCTGTCGAAGAAGTCCGAAGCGATCCAAGCTACACCAACGATGCAAGCGCGACCACCACGACCATGTGCCGTTCGACACCGACGAGGCGAACGACGCAGGTGGGCATGGCTGATATTCCAGCCATGTTGTACCGGCTCATGAATCGACGAGGCCCTTACGCCGACGCCATCTACATCTACACCAACACACATGCATGGAGACGTGAAGCGACGACGACCACAACAGCAGAATCGGAGGTACGTTGTGAGCTAGCTCACGGGGGTAATTAATTGAGAGCCTTCCGAGGCCCCAGAAACCATGAAGACCACGATCGCCCAAGCTAGATTGCCGCCAGCAGGCTATGGAGCACATAATAGGAACTTGTATTTGTTAACTCATGGTTGATTAATAAAATACGTGTTCCTTTTCTTTTTTATTTTGTGTACTTTGGTACACCGGCACGCCCGCACTTTTCCCACACAAGAAAACCGCTTGAGACAGATTTTTCTGGTGTCCAAATAAAGCCACCTAATAAATAGACAAGATTTAACATGGCCATTTATGGCGTATAGCTCGGCAAGATTTAATTTTACCACTACTCTCTCTGTTCTTTTTAGAATTTGGAATAGTTTTGTTCTAAGTCAAACATTTCTAACTTTGACTATTAACTATTAATTTGAAGTCACTACTTCCTCCCGGCACACTTTGAGGGCATTGAGCGTACGTGTCGTGTTTGCATCCCTTTCGCATCCTCCATTCTTCTCACTTTTCAAGGACAGTACTCACTTAGTCCCGGCACTCTTTGAGGGCGTTGAGCTCACGTGTCGCGTTTGCACCCCTTCCACTTCATCCATTCTTCTTATTTTTCTCCTCCTATATGGGTAACCAAAATTGAAGGATTGAACTCACTCTAGTCTTGTTCTACGTCAAATTTCTTTAGCCCTTTTAACAGTTTTATAGAAAATACCAAATAAATGTGGTTATTCCATGATGGATTTAATAAATCTAATTTGATATAGCAGATGTTTATGAATTCTTTTTACAAACACGGTTGCAAATAAAGTTAAATATAATGAAATCTGACATAAAAATAGTATAGTTTATATTTTTGGAACGAAGGAATTCCTGACCTGACGCAGACATCAACTACGACTGTCCTATAGATATATATCAGCCACTCAGCCAGGACTAAAAAGAAGGCGCACGATGGCACGAACAACCCTTTTTCTCGCGTGCAGTGCCAACCGCCAGAATTATTGGCGTGGACGGGCCATCGGCACCGCATGCAAAATCGGCTGCCTTGCCTGACGGGGCGTTTGGTCGACCCACCAGCCACCGCCATGTATCATCCTAATCGCAAGGCCGTTATGCAAATGCAAGTACATGGATCATGGATGCAATGCAAGCTGCAACTGCGAGCCGATATGTGTAATACGTACATGCCATGCATGGTGCTTGGGTGAAGATAGGAATTGGTCACCAACTCCTCAATCTAGCCAGAGCCAGCCAAATACTACTCCGTACTAAACAACTTGTGTGTTCTAACTGCAGTCTGCTGGCTTCCCTGTCAGGACCAGTCCATGCGCCGCGCAACGCATGCAAGAGAGCTCAGTGACACTGGGAGCGAGCACCGGGCCGGGCAGTTGCCTACTGATCTTATATCCCTAGGTTTCGCTTCAACTGTTTCACCAATCAACATTGTTTTGCTCCTCGTTCATGTTTCAAATTCTAGCTAGCGTTTCTGAAATCTGAAGACTAGTATCTTCGACGCGGAAATTGAAACTGGATTATCTTGTAGAGATTGACCATTTTTTAGTTCATCAGGGAATGCATTTTCTTTTCTACAGTCACTGATAAGGGAGTATATAAGAACAAAGTACGCAAATGTGGGACCGATTAGGAGTATATAAGTTCAAGGAAATAAAGGGGTGACCAAGATGTGGGAAAAGAATAATTATTTCTCTTGTGACATTCACACAATAATGTATCACACATAAAGGTAGGAATAAATAACCCCATTTACAACTCAATGTTGCAAATTTCTACTAAGAAAATGAAGTCTGTGAGATCCATGCAGACTGCAGAGCAAAATCATTCTACTACTACTCAAGAGCTGACTTGTACACCAGCCGGCCGTGGGCTGCAGTTCCTGCAGCCATGCCGACGACGGCCTACAGCTCCAAGAACAGATCCCCAATAAATACTACTACTAGTCTTTTTTGTACGTACGTATATTGAGCACGAATTGTGTCCGTATGTACGCCGTATCTGTAGATATGAGCAAGAAAGATTTGGTATCATGTGTTGTGTATGTATGCCCTGCCCTGCCCTGCCCTGCCCTCCCTTCTCTTCCCAGCAAATTATTCACAACTTGATCTCCATTTCTGATCATGTCGTCCTGGTCACGAGCTTGACGCCGGACAGGTCGCCGCCGAACTCCTCGAGCACCACCAGCAGGTTTCCGCTGGGGTTGAGCCAGGAGCGCGAGACATGGTAGTACCTCTGGGAGATGTCGCAGCAGCTGGTCTGGCACTTGGTCTCGCTGTACGTCCCCGTGTAACTGCAGCCGCCGCAGCTGCCGGAGGCCTTGTACGACCAGTACCGGCCGATGTGGTGGCCGTTCACCCACGCTTGGCCCTTGCCCATGCTGCCCATGTCCAGGGCCACCGGCGCGTTGAAGTAGGCCTGAGGACGATCACAGTCACACACACGCGTGGTTTCAGAAATGGAACGTACGGTAGCCTTGTTACTAGCTTGGGTAATGCACAGATCATGTTACTATCTATCTGTAGGACTAGGACACTGACCTTGTGCCATGTCAAGGGTTGCTTCCCTGCCGCGCTGCCCCACTCGACGGGCGAGCTCCCGGTGACGGAGTGCACGCCGATCTGCGTGCGCCACGAGATCAGTCAGTGTGTCTGTCTAGGTTCAGACTTCATAATAACAGAGCAAATGAGCAGCAGGTACCTGGTAGGTCCATTTCTGGTTGCTGAGGTCCCTCTTCCCCTCGTTCAGGCCGGACAGCGTCACCGGACCGAGCACGCTGACGTTCCACGCCTCGTAGTGGGTGCCCTGGTTCTGCAGGGTCACCAACCACAAGAGGTTGTAATATGTTAAGTTTCAGGCTTATTACAGGCAGTGAGAGCTCTGGAATTCTAGAAGAGTGTAATGACGAGATGATAGATGATTCTGAATTTCCGGTGCGGTGAGCTTACAGGGAGGCCGACTGCTGCGTTGAGGATGGAGATCTTGTTGCTCCCCTGCCACATCTTCTCACGTACCCGCTGTATGTTAGCTTCGGGCTGTCGTAGCCGCCATACACGGTGCCTGCAATTGAAGAACACCAAGAAATGTTTCATCAGTAAATAAACTGGGCGATGCAATATTGGTGTGGGTTGCAGTGGCCACGCAGCCGGCGTAGGTTCGATTCATAGAATCGGACCTGCGTCTCTCACCGGGACTAGCTCTCAGAATAAAATCTGTAGCCTTCTCTCGCGTGCTGCTATAAAGGGACTGTGACATTCCTGTCTCCTACGAAGCTACAATGGTTTGGTTTCGGTGATCTTCAGAAGGACGTAGTCTTCCACTCCGTATGTAATTGTAGGTCTGGCTGTGCACGTGTGGTGTGAGTGTGGTGTGCGTGGATGCATGCATGTGTGTGCTTACTACAACTGTACCCAGATAAGAGGCTTTAAAAAAAAGAAGAACAAGATTCAGACAGACGGTACCGTAGGACTGGCCGTTGACGAACACCTGCAGGGCGTGGCCGGCGGAGTAGATGGTCAGCTGCGGCCGCTGTCCGGACTTCAAGAACTGCTCGTTGGAGTTGATGTTCACGCTGCATTGAAACATCCAGAGGTCAGCACGCAGAGATCGACCATATAACTGCTGTGCTCATCAGAGACAGAGAGAAGTGGAGGAGGAAATGAAGTTTCAGGGATGCCATGCCATCACTCACTAGGTGGTGTACCACAGGTAGTCTGACTTGTCCCACGTCATACTGAGCTGCTCCACCAGGCCGTCCTTGGTGAAGGCGCGGTCGTCCAGCTAGTTGGTGGCCTCGCTGTACGACTGCCACGAGAAGCCGCCCACGGGGCTCATCCTCGCCGGCGCCGACGGCTCGCTCACCACGGCGGTCTTGTAGTCCGGCAGCACGCTGATGGACCAGGCCGGGAGGTCGTAGCGCCGCCCGTTGAACACCACCCGCGCCGCCGCCTTGGTGTGGTAGTTGGACAGGAACGCCGCGCAGGCGCTGCTGCTCGACTTTAACACGTACGCCTGAAAACACAGCTCCATTCCATGAGCAACTCTGAAAGTCTCGGTACACATATTTTTGACTGAATTTGACCGACCTTCTCGTAGTTCCCGATGGACTGGATGGTGGGGTCGCCGGAGACGAGCGCCGGCTCGGCTTGCTTGATGGCCTTGTGCAGGTCCCTCAGGTGACCCCATTTCGGCTACCTCAGAAGACCTGAAATGGTTTCAGAGTTTCAGTTACAGACAGACCATCTATCACACATTCAGAACAATCTACTGCAACAAAAAAGCAACGAAAGTAACGCTACCGGAAAGAAAGAGTTGGACAAGAGATAACTGTATTTCCCCTAGAGTCGTAGTTGCAACTACCCCTAGTCCAAGCTAGAGCATCATTAAGAGTTGAATATCCACTCTAGTCCAAGCTAGTCATCAAGGCTCATGATCCACTGGGAGTACCTATTATCCACTCTAGGTTCGCGGGTCCCAAACCAAGCACACCTCTAGGAGCTAGCCTTCCATCCATCAACTCCACCAGCAAGGTCATCTAGTCCCCCACCAAGCCATCTAGGAGCTGATATATTCCAAGAGTAGAAAGTCTTCGATCTTCACTTGATCAAACCTTTGAGCTAAGAGCACAAAGATGCACACCAAGTAACTCACACACTCCTTTTTACTTGAATTGCCCTCAATCTCTCTTCACAAAGCCTCACTGAGGGGCCCTGGATCATTCGGTGACCCTACTTTTATTGTTTTTCTAACTATGACTACAAAATACTCAAGAATATTCCCCACTAAATGATACACTACAACAACTAAGGTACACATCGGGTTATACGATACAAATCGCTAAGCACATCCAAATTGAATTGGTCGTTGCGCAGTACCACCGAATGATCTGCCAAGCCCACTAAGGTACCACCAGATCATACTGTACACTCCAACAAGCGTGCCCAAGAAGAAATGATCCTTGCACAGTATCACCGAATTATGTACTGGCCCACACAGAACCCTTCATGTATCTTCTGGTGGGCAACGTTGATTAAGACTCAGTATGCCACAACATCACCAGACAATCCGGTGGTCTTAGTCAACTGATTCTATGCCCTAAAATCTTATATTCAATCTCTGTTTCAAGCCTAATCTCATCCAATCAACTTCTTTTGAGATCCTTGACTTATCCTCTATCTATCGTAGCCGCTGTTGACAAACTTTGCTTAGAGTAACTCTCATGTGTGCATCAAAGTGCTTTTGACTCCAATTTTGATAAAACTACTAATCTTGACCTGCCTTATTAGTATGGCCAAAGATAAAACAAAAACCCCAACACTAAGTCTAAATGTTCCCAACACCAAGTCCGCACTTAGACATTATCGTGTCCTTAGCCTTCATGAATATCGTTGCGCCATACGTCACATCCAATCACCGGGAGGCAATATAACCAAGTGGACTCAATGTGACTAACTGTTTCTCATTAACCCTGCAAAACAAAGTTAGCCACATATCTTGTTGTTCATCAATCACGGAAACTGAGCTAGCTGCCTTGATGCAATCATGCATGTGTCCTTCCATCGAACCCCTATTCACATTTATGGGGACTAGGGCATGATCCTAATTCAATGTGATCATATTGTTGTGCATTACAAGTCGTTATCCTAACAGAATCTAGATTATCTCCTGCCGTACCGGGTCTAGCAGTCATGGTGTAATTTGGCCCATGGCTACCTTCCCTCTGCTAGTCGGGTGAATGCATCTAGGCCCCAATTTCAGGTTTGGGGTTTTGATGATTAAATGCTTGTGACTAACATGTGTTTTGTAGGCATTATATTCACATTAGTTAGTGTTGACGGTAGGTAACACCCATCATAAACCGTCAATATAACTTTTATAAATGCATGAAAATGATCACCAACATAGGTTTAGGGGTTTAAACTAACAAATTCCACGGGTTTTGGTGAATCTGTGTTTTCTGCAGGGTTTATCCAGAAAACCGTCAAGGTGGACCTAAACGTCAGAATTAATTACGCTTATCCGCGATGAAACCAACTCCTGAAGCTTCCAGAAGACACCAGAGGGCTAACCACCGAAGCGGACCCCGAGACACTGACATGGGGGGCCGACCGGCCTGTGGGCCCACCTATCAGCATCCTCCTTCGACGTCGATTCCTCCACCATCATTGAGATCCAATCTACGCCGTTCTTTTAAGTCGGTTTGATCTGAGGGCTCAGGATTGATGGTTCCCCTATATATATCAGCCCCTACCCTCCACCCCCGAGGGAGGCATTGATCATTGATCATATTCAAAACCTAATCATCAGAGAAGAACCTCAGAATTCCACAATATTCTGGGGCATAGCTAGCTAAGTTAGATCTAGAGAGAGGCAAGCCATCTGCTTGGATTACTGATCTTATCAAGAGCGTGGCTTGGTATAGCCCCTTGTGTCCTCTCTAGTATCTTTCATATTTCGTGTGTTTGCTACAATTGATATGACATTGTTCTTAATATTATTTATGTTCCTAGTTATCATGTTCATCATCTACTTTGATTATATACTTAGTATAGCTAGATTATCTTTATATTCAAACATAAGTTCGTATAACTCTTGCTCTGGTGTACACAGGGTGAGTGGTCGACATTGTGTAAGCGTGGTGCTTATACATTGTTTACCTGTGGATGCACCTTATATTATGGGCCATGTGGTAGATCGTGAGTGTGACACTCTCGTTGAGTCCTTTGTAGTCCACTCCCCGAATATAGGACAAGTAGGATCTGGTTGCGAAGGAAGACATGCTCTGTTCTTGATCTTCCTTAGTAATATCCCTTATGTGTTGATATGAAGTTGATCTTAGCCATGATTATTAAGTGTAATTGCACTAATCATAGTATGCTTTGACTTGTAATTAAGAATGACTTAGGAATTAGTTTCTCTATTGTATCTACTTAGTCATGCTAATGCCATAGAAAGGAGTACTCTGAGTGTTCAACTATCAACTATTACTTATCAATGATCATTTATCATATATTTATCTTATCCTTTGACTTACCCCTATTATGAGTAGTAGGTTGGTTATGGTTTATTTCTCAATCAAAAGTATAAGTTATCAATATATTCCCTTTTGCCCGTCCTTCCCTGTGGTAAAAATATAAATAACGATACCTGGAATACTCCCAGGTGAAATGCTACAATGGTATATTATCTGTGTGCTTGTGAATTCCTTATTATGTATATAATCTTTCCTCAATTATAAGTGACATGTTAATAAATACCAACAATCATTTTTGGCATCATTGCTAGGGATGACAACCTAGTAAAAGTGATGTTAAGAAATGTCAACAATATTTCTGGCGCCGTTGACGGGGAAGATAGCTAGGCAATCAAAAGGAATATTGATAAACTTTTACTTATTGATGTGATCGAGAAAACCATTTACCCCTACTCAAATAGCTTACCCTTGCTCTAGCTACTTTTATATTTTATGCAGGGTAATGTATGATCGGTTTTGACCTTCCGATAAACTATGTTGAAGATCCAGAAGCACTAATCAGGAGGACTCGAGCTAAACTCAAGAAAGTTCTAGCTCTAGAATCGGAAAACAACTAGACAAGGCAAAGCTTAACACCAGTTTTTGAAGCCATGGCTGATAAGACACTATGTGAATTCTCAGCTCTAACTACGGCCAACATCCGAACTAGACCGACGAACAACATTGGAGACAATGCTTTTGAGCTCAAGCCAGCTCTCATCAACATGGTGCAAGCTAGCCAATTTTGTGAAAAGGCACATGAAGATGCGAGTGCTCATCTCCAACACTTCCTAGAGATTTATAACACTTTATAATCAAAGGAGTTACTAGAGATGCCATATTACTCCGCCTTTTTCCATTCTGACTTTTGGGGAAGGCGAACCAATGGTTCTACGCCAACAAAGATAGAAATACCACATGAGAAAACTACTCCACTGTCTTTCTAGCAAAGTTCTTTCCCGTAGGCAAGACTAATGCTCTACGTGCAAGAATTTCGAGTTTTCAGCAGTAACACGATGAATTTGTCCCTGAGGCATGGGAACGCTTTCAAGATTACATATCAAAATGTCCTCATCATGGGATGGAGAATTGGCTACTCATATAGACTTTCTACCATGGGTTGACTAACAGCACTCGTGAGAATATGGGTGCTACTGCTGGAGGATCATTTTTATCACTCACAATCACAGGGGCAACAGATCTCGTAGAGAAGATGGCCTCCAACCAAGGCTGGAATGAAGAACGTTCTCAAACCCACAAGAGAGGTGGAGAAATACATTAACTCAAGGAGGTAGATATGCTGTCTGCCAAGATGGATCTGCCGATAAAGAAGCTTGAAGATCGAGCCAAAGAGAAGCAAGAAGTCATGCACATTCATGATTCTCTCATAACATGTGAAGAGTGTGAAAACACTGGGCATTCAGAGAACAACTGTCCTGAAATCCATGAGGATGTGAACTTCATCAACAACAACTATCGTCCTCAACAGAATTAAGGATGGAATCAGCAACAAAGGCCAAACTACCAAGGTAATTACCAAGCTCAGCTGGCGGCTGCTGTTCCTTCAATCGACAAAGGTAAGATTCCGAGACAACTGGAAGAACCCAAAACTATGAATCTTGTTGATATTCACAATGCAAGGTACTACTGCATACAACCATCAGCTGAAGGATGGGAGGACCATTCCTTACCCGTCAAGAAAGGTGATCCAGGAAGACCCATCATCCCCATAGCCATTGGACCTCACATATTCCAAGAAACTATCTGTGACTTCGGAGCAAGTGTCAACATCATGCCAAAGGTAATTTATGATAAAATTAGTGGAGACACTTGTTGTACACAAACATGCATTTGCAGCTTGTAGATCAATCACTCTGCTACCCCTAGGGAATTCTTGAAGACATCTGTGTATGAATTGGAAGCTCGTACGTACCCATAGACTTTGTGGTTTTAGAGACAGGTGGAGATGTAAGGGCACCCATTATCTTGGGCTGACCTTTCCTGAGCACCACAAAAGCCATCATCTATGCGAATAGTGCCATGATCTGTTTCACAATCAAGGATAGAAAGGAGAAATTTACTTTTAAGAATCGAAATTTGCAATCTCTTAAGCATCCACAAACACCATACCTACCCGAGGACACAACAGTAAGCAAGAAGAGAAGCAACCAAAGAAGAAGGAAGAACAGGGCCAGTCAACCAAGAGAAGAATCAGTCAACATGATCAACACACTACGATCGGAGTTTGATTAACCTCCTCGCTTCACCATTCCTTACCAAGAAGGAAGACCCTGGTGTACCGATGATCGAGTGTATAATTGTACAAAGAATCTTCCAAAACACCTTCTGCGACAGTGGATCGGGCGTCAACATAATGTCCAAGGTAACATATGAGTGTCTGTTTGGTAATGAACCTTTGTTTTCTACATATATGCAATTATAGCTGGCAGACCAAACAATCTGATTTTCGGAGGGAATAGCAAAAGACATCATGGTCAAAATACAAGGTAACTATGTCCCTACCGACTTCATGATTCTTGACATGGGAGAAAAAGAAATAGATGTACCTATCATCCTTGAAAGACCGTTCCTCAACACCACCAACACAATCATCTATGTCGGATCTAGACATGTCCACTTCCAAATCCTAGGACAAAAGGTACGATGTTATTTCAATAGTTATACAATTTATGAACAGCCGAAGAAAATCCATTCCAAGAAAAGATGTCAACGCCGGAGGAATCAACTCCCAAAGAACAAGAAGAAGGAGAAGCTGTAAAAGACGAACCTACTGCGCCGAAATCAAGTCCACAATCTAAGCAGGTTTGGAAGGAGAATGTGACATCATCATCAGAGTCAACATTACAAGAGGTGCAACCATCAAGGTCTCCTTCCCCAGGACCGACAGATGCACCCGAAGAATAAATAAGACTGGAGAAAGTCCTATTCGGAAGACTCAAAACACCGAACCCTCACCGAGAGATAAAATCGGTAGTTATCCATATTTACTTTTTCGCATTGCATAAATTGTTTTCACTTTAGCATATTTACCTTTCTGCATTTGCATTGCATTTAGAAAACAAAACAAAACATTTATTGCATCATTATAAAATCCTAAAGCCCCATGTGAATAATTTTACAGTGTGTAAAAAACCGTAAGAATATTTACCATGGTGGCATAAAAAATAATAAAAAATCATGCATACATCTAGTTATATTTTTACTACATCATAAAGTATTTCTTGCAAAGGATATATAAGAAAATCCAAAAATAAAGATTAGCATCCTGCTAAAATTTTGCCGAAAAGAAATATTTCTAAAAACCTCAAAAACAAGAACAGCTAACCCCTAGACGGCTGACCGCTAACCTCTTTATCCTAATCCATTCCACGAGTTTTGGTGTTCTTGTTGGTATTATGTAGGATGATACACAAGATCAAGAGCAAGTCCACCCAGCTATCTTCATCTCACTCCACCCGAAGTATATTTTCTTGAACCGCTACTACACCCGTTGCACAAGGGAGCCCAACTTCCTCATGGATGAGAAGAGCATATGCTGGCGAAACACAAAGATGAGTGCCAATCACTCAATGCAAATGTTCAACCACGACAACAACTAGCTTGGGGAAGGGAATCCCCATGTATTCAGCTAAGTATTTCATTTCTATTATATTTTAGAGTGTGTTTTATATTTGCTAGTTAAAAAAAAGATGCATAACTAAGAACAAAATAAAAAATTTCTTTGAATTTAATATAGATATATTAGTAATGTGTGATTTAGAAAATAGAAAACAAAATAAAAGGTGTGTCAAGTTTGCTTTAGTTTCTGATTTTAAGAGCTGAATAAATAAAAATGACTCTGAATATAATCTCTTGAAATGGAAATGATAGAATAGTTGCTCTGTTGTAATTCCTTCTAAGTACCTAGTTTTCAGCCTTGAATTCTCTCGAGTTTTGGATAAGACTAATTAGATATAAGAATTTGCTCTGAACTTGAAACTCGTGGGTAGCATATGCTTGATCTAAATCTAGGTAATTGATGGATATGATATGAGAAGGTTTGAGCCGCTGTTTATCTTGTTTCAAGTGACACTAAAATTCTAGAGATTTATCTTTTGAAAAACTTAAAAATTCTACATGATGAGTTCCTATATGACAAAGCTTAAATTCCTACTAGAGCCATACATGTTTATTTAGGCTAGGAAAACTTGCACATATATGCTGCTTGTTTTGCCTTGAGTTTAGTTGATCCTTATGAGAGGTTTGTCATGCTCTTAAAATCAAGATCACGTACACACCACCCACATATGCACTACTCCTACACTGGAGGTAGGTGTAAAAACATGCTTTCCATTTAGATTCACCCAAAAATGTTTTACTCCTACACTGGGAGAAAACACTAAAAGTATATCTTGATAGTTTTTCATCCACCAAATAAATGCTCCAAGTTCTTGTTACAATCTCTCAAAAGTTTTTATTGCAGAAAAGAGGTAAGGGCTATGCAAAAGTTATTCATAAAAAAAGAGAAAGAAGAAGGAAAAAAGAGTTGAGAAAAAATGTACAAGTGTCCGAGATATCTAAAACAATGGGTACTCAGATGCCCACCTGAAAAAGAAGGAAGAGATGAATAAGATAGCCCATGCTCTCTAGCAAATGTTTTCAAGTTTCAAAAGAGAGATATGTTTTCAAGGAGAAAGGTAGAATTAGGATAGTCACCATATATATCCACACACATGCACATCTTGATTTGATTATATGACTCAACTCTCTTTGGATCCAAGGTTTGACTTTACAATATATATATTTGCAAGTATGCTCTTTCATGCTACTTCCACTCCTATGAGCTCCACATAAGCCTTAGTTGTAGAAAGAGAAAGGCATAACATCAATATTGCCTTGGTGAGGATCCACAAATACCACAGATATTGAGAGACTTAACAGTGTCATATAATGGAAGCTTTGAGTTTTATTTTGAAAATCTATAAAAACTCTGGAATAATGGTTGAGCAAAGAACTTGAGATATAGCGCTTGACTTGATCGTTCTGTCTTTCAATTGCTCAAGACCCCAAGAGAAGGCTAATAAGCTCCATGGTTGAAGGTAATATGGGTTAGTTTGAAAGTTAGATCAGTTTATTCTAATCTAGAGGAGAATTCTTGTTTGAACACATGTGTACTTTTGAGGGGTTGCTACAACATTTTTTTAAAAATCTTAAACTCCTAATCCATTGCTAAGTTTAGCATTGCTCAGGGACGAGCAAAGTTTAAGCTTGGGGGAGTTTGTTGACGGTAGTTAACACCCATCATAAACCGTCAACATAACTTTTATAAATGCATGAAAATGATCACCAACATAGGTTTAGGGGTTTAAACTAACAAATTTCATGAGTTTTGGTGAATCTGTGTTTTCTGCAGGGTTTATCCACAAAACCGTCAAGGTGCACATAAACGTCAGAATTAATTATGCTTATCCACGATGAAACCAACTCCTAAAGGTTCTAGAAGACACCAGAGGGCTAACCACCGAAGCGAAGCCTGAGACCCTGATAGGGGGCCGGCCGACCCCACCTATAGGCCGGCCCACCTATGGGCCCACCTATCAGCCTCCTCTTTCGATGTTGGTTCCTCCACCGCCATTGAGATCCAAGCTACGTTGTTCTTTTAAGTCAGTTTGATCCGAGGGCTCATGATTGATGGTTCCCCCTATATATATCTGCCCCTACCCTCCTCCCCCGAGGGAGGCATTGATCATTGATCATATTCAAACCCTAATCATCAGAGAAGAACCTTAGAGCTCCACAATATTTTAGGGCATAGCTAGCTAAGTTTGATTTAGAGAGAGGCAAGCCATCTGCTTGGATTCCTGATCTTGTCAAGAGCATGGCTTGGTGTAGCCCCTTGTATCTTCTCTTGTATCTTTCATATTTCGTGTGTTTGCTACAATTGATATGACATTATTCTTAATATTATTCATGTTCCTAGTTATCATGTTCATCGTCTACTTTGATTATATACTTAGTATAGCTAGATTATCTTTATGTTCAAGCATAGGTTCATATAACGCTTGCTCTGGTGTACATGGGGTGAGTGGTCAATATTGTGTAAGTGTGGTGCTTACACGTTGTTTAACTACGGATGCACCCTATATTCTCGGGCCATGTGGTAGATCATGAGTGTGACACTCTCGTTGAGTCCTTTGTAGTCCACTTCCTGAATATAGGACAAGTAGGATCTGGTTGTGAAGGAAGACATGCTCTATTCTTGATCTTTCTTAGTAATATCCCTTATGTGTAGATGTGAAGTTGATCTTAGCCATGATTATTAAGTGTAGTTGCACTAATCATAGTATGCTTTGACTTGTAATTAAGAATGACTTAGGAATTAGTTTCTCTATTGTATCTACTTAGTCATGCTAATGCCATAGAAAGGAGTACTCTGAGTGTTCAACTATCAACTATTACTTATCAATGATCATTTATCATATATTTATCTTATCCTTTGACTTACCCCTATTATGAGTAGTAGGTTGGTTATGGTTTATTTCTCAATCAAAAGTATAAGTTATCAATATATTCCCTTTTGCCCGTCCTTCCCTATGGTAAAAATATAAATAACGATACCTGGAATACTCCCAGGTGAAATGCTACAATGGTATATTATTTGTGTGCTTGCGAATTCCTTATTATGTATATAATCTTTCCTCAATTATAAGTGACATGTTAATAAATACCAACAAGCATTTCTGGCATCAATGCTAGAGATGACAACCTAGTAAAAGTGATGTTAAGAAATGTCAATAGTTAGTCACTTATCGACCGCATGGTTTTCTTGGCCCTAATGATTGACGACAAGTACTATGATCGAAGGATATTTGTGAACACTAAAGATTCTATAGGGTCAAGTGCAAGTTTGGTGTTTAGAGGCACTTGACACAAAGTGTATAGGGCTTTATTTTTTCATATGGTCATACTATTAAGGGCTAGGGGGTTGCCCATGACATGCAACTTGGTGGGAGTTCGAGTTCGAGTTGAGAGCATTTGGATATGCACAAGTGATACACTATCATGTCTCACAAATTCAGAGGCTAAGTGACTCCATTGGATAAGTTTTAAGTTAAGGATCTCAAAGATGTTGAACTGGATGAGATTAAACTTAACGAGCTCAGAATATGTAGCAACTAGTTGGGCCCAGCTTGACAGATCATTCGGTGGCATTGTGGTATTTCCTATGTTTGACCAACACTTCTTCATTTTGTTCTGAATTTGTAGGCTGTCATCAAACTGTATGAGGCTCTGGACAAATGTGAGGATATTCTAAGCAGGCAACACTTTCTATGTGGCAATCAACTTACAGAGGCAGATGTTCTCTGTTTACAACTCTTATAAGATTTGATGATGTATGGATTTCTTAATAGAAGAAAAAAACTATGTAAAATCTAGCATTGATATTACATCTTGTTGAGTTCAGTTTGTAGGTGTAACCCAATGTATCTTCCGTAGTTCATGCTCCCTTAACCTACTTGAACAAGAGAAACGAAAAGTTATATGGGACGACTACTAGATCGATTTAACATTCAGCGGAGTTGCTGATCTCACCTGGCTACTTTTTTGGCGTTACATCTTTCTTGTGATGCTGGTAGCTGTTAGCATAAATGTTCATCTGGTGTTCTCAACAAGAGTCAGAGCACCAAATGAGTGAGATGCAGTGTGTGAATAATTTGGTGTCAGCCTTAAAGCAATGGCAAAAAACCATATGCAACAATTGTTAGACCATATAATCGCAAACAAAAATTGTCAGACCATATAAAGGTGGACACATCACACATAAACATATTGAATTTAAGGGGGCACTTTCTATGCAGATGAACAATACCTGGAGTTTGATATTATTATTTGAAGCTGGATCGTAGTTTATTTTTGTTTTCATTTGAACTTGAAACATTTGGTTCGTAATTTACAAATATTTCCTTTTGGTTTGTTTTCATTACAAGTTTTGATTAATTCTTCTCTACAGGTTTACTTTGTTTACTTCAAATGCAACAAGAAGCTTATAAGGGAATATCCAAATCTGTTCAATTACACCAAGGACATATACCAAATTTCTGGCATTAGTAGCACGGTTAACATGGAGCACATTCGAAAGAGCTACTATGAAGGTTATTCGCCCATAAATCCAAACAGGATTATCCCTGTGGGCCCAAACATCGATTATAATGCTCCACATGATAGAGAGAAGTTCAAGGCTTAGAAGATTTCCTTTGGTGACTTCTGTATATGTCATGTTTATTGTTGTAATATTTGGGATCTGTTCTTGTGCTTGGTCATTGCTAGTCTCCATGTGGTTGATGTGGCAACTGTATGCTGATAATAATACTGGGACGTGTATAGAAAGTTTCTTGTGCAATAAATAACTAAAAATTTCTTGTGCAATAAATAACTAATTCTTGGTGCCAAGAGAATTTCACACTGCGTACTCTTCTGTGTTTGGGCCATATATTTGTTCTCACTTATATTCATCTTTTTTTGGAAGAACCAGCAAAAATTTGTTGTATTTATCTATATCTATATCTATATCTATATCTATATCTATATCTATATCTATATCTATATCTATATCTATATCTATATCTATATCTATATCTATATCTATATCTATATCTATATCTATATCTATATCTATATCTATATATCTTTTAGGGATCTCCCGAGCGCTCTGCCATGCTTGAGTCAGTCGAGCGTGTGAAAGCCCTAGTTTGGTTTTGGATAATTGATGAAACCTAGGACTAACCTTTGATCTAAGTATGCGAATTAGAAAAGGTGGTCCAATCCATGTGATAGAGCAAGATGAGGTCCATGGTGATGAAGGTGGACATGAAATGATGATGATCAAGCTCAACTTGGAAATGAAGAAAGAGAAAAACAAAATCCAAGAAGATCAAGGCAAAGGTATATGATAGGTTTTTGTTTTGCACTCAAGACACCATAGAGTGTGTGAGTGACTTAGGATCGATAGCCGTACTAGAGGGGAAATCTTTGGCTAAACGGTTTATCGAGTGCCACTAGGTGACATGACTCATGCATTGCATTTAGGAACTGTTGGAAGATCAACGCCTCTGTCTTGATATTCTTCCTATCTGGAGCTTCCTCCTCTACGTTCCGACCATTGTTTTGCATGGCCATTGTTCATAGTAGTAGAACTGCTAGAAGTTGGCGTTGATGGTGATGACTGCCTTTTGGCCCAACATCTTCAACTTTAGGTAGGTGTAGTTGGGAGCAACCATGAATATCATTAAACATGGCCACTCGAGTAGGTCATGATGGTACGTGCCCAAGAAGTCTACCACCTCAAAGGTCATTGTCCGGCATGCCAAAGGTAACATGGAGCTGGATATGTGCAAGGGGCATGGCTTCCTTGCCCGGGACAACTCCGAAGAAGGCCCCACTCGGGCAGAGGCTGCTTCTTGGAATCTTCATTTTGTTGAGGATCTCTGCATAGAGGATGTTGAGCATGCTTCTGCCATCCATTAGAACCTTGGTGAGGCACACCTTGCCCACTATCTTGATAACCACGAGCGGGAAATGGCCCGAGTGAGGCATGTGGTCAGGGTGATCGCCTCGATCAAAGGTTATTGCCATCTTGGACCAATGTAGCCGTGTCGCCATAAGTATGGTCTCGACGGTGTTCACCTCTTACTTGGTGATCTAGTATTGGCATCGTGATACATAGACGTGGGGTCCACCAAAGATCATCAGACACTCCTTGCATTGAGGAACTCGGTGTCTTCATCCTTTCCATCACCGGCTCCCCCGTTGACCTTATAGGTAGGCCTCTGGGCCTTACCCTTTAGACTGAGGGTACCCTTGATGTAGCTTCTCGTGGTTTCACAGTCTTTGAGGATGTGCTTGACCTAGCCTCTATGAAATGGGCAAGCTTCCTCGAGTGCTCTCTTGAAGTGCTTGGGTAGCTAGCCCTTACCCTTTGCTTAGGGCCACGTGGCTCACTCGGCTGTGGCCACCATTTCCTTCCCATGACACTTCTTGTCACCCTTCTTCTTCTTGTAATGGTGCTAGCTGGCCATGTTGGCTTTGTCATAGCCTTCTCCTCCGCTATGGAGGGTGGCGGTCTTGCATTTGCCACTAAAGTTGGCTAGGATGACCTCCTCCCCCGTGGCATACTTGGTGGTGATGTCCAATAGCTCCTATGTTGTTCGAGAGGCCTTGCGTCTAAGCGCATGGAACAAGCACCTCGCACATGGTGCCATAGGTGAAGGCAATGATGACGTTGGCATCAGTGACATTGGGTAGCTCATTGTGCTTGTTGGAGAAGCACGTAATGTACTCATGGAGAGTTTTGCCTGCTGTTATGAAAATCCCAAGAGTTTTTGAGTTGGGTATAGGTACCTTGGAATTGCCCTACAAAGATCAAGCAGAGGTTGACCTAGTTGCAGATACTCCTGACATCCAGCTACTCGAGCTAGGCCCTCGCTAAGCTTGAGAGGTGCAGCAGGAGGTACTAGACTATGAAGTCATCGTCTGCCCCTCCTCGAGCCACTGGTTGGGGTTGATATTCCCATCATACTTACTGAAGAGGGTTGGCAAGCACAAGTGCTTCTGGTAGCGAGCTGCCCATATCCTAGTCCTAAATGCTAGGGGACCAAACTGCTCCTAGTTTGAGCTTCCCTCTCCTTGGCTAAGGTGTAGGGATGATGACTTGGCTTGAGCATGCCACCTTGCCATGAGGGTGTCCCACATGTCCCTGTCTTCTCTAATCTGGTCATGCACAGGCGATCGATGTGAGTCAGGCTTGCCTCGCTGCTCGCACTAGGGCTTGGCTCCTCTCATCCTTAGTCAGCCATAACTATTCATGGAGCTATCTCCACCACCACTACCTTGGGGAGCGTGCTTGTTAGAGCAATCCCCATATGGTGTTAGTGTCGACTGGGATGACCTCAAGGCAACGTTACGACAATGGGACACCAATCTCTCTACTCGCTACTGAGGACAATGCTAAGGAAGCACCAGGTGTCTCGGATCTTCTCATTAGTCTTTGAGTCTAATGTGTCAAAGATGTCACCTAGGTGGCAGGTGGTGGCCGCTATGTTGTACAATGCATGGGGGAGGCATAGCAAGCTAGGAGCCCCCGTGTGGTTATTGACCTCGTGCTGGGCGGCATGCTGGCGTTCAATCTCCTCTTTCATCCTTTCGAGCTTGGTTCACTCGACCTCTAGGTTGGCTTGCTAAGCATTAAGGCACTCAACCTTCTCCTGGAGATAGGTGGAATGGCTAGTCAGACTCAGGTTCGAGGGTGTGATATCAAATTCGTTAGCGGGCAGTTATTCCCATGGAGGAAAAAGCAGTCCCTCTCTAGGGAATTGCTGACAGCCTCATCGGAGTCATACTCTAGCTTGACCATCAAGAGTATCTCAAGGAAGATGCACGGCAAGGGGACATTGGTCCTTGCGGCGCCCTATGTCTAGTAGTTTGGTGTTCTTCATGTTAGGAATGCTTAAACAAGAGTTCTTACAAATGGAGGAATTGGGAGAGAGAGGTGTAGAGGGTAGTACTATGCTGATCTAGGGTTTCGACAGAGTTGAGTCACCCTATCTAAGTTCTGATGATCCGATCTCTTCTATAGGAGCCCGTGCCTCCCCTTATATACTAGGGAGGCCATGGGATTACAAAGCGAATGGTTCTCTACCAAGGGATTTTTGCCCTAGGGTTTGGTCTTCTTCTTCCTGGCACCACCAGTCCTCATTTCTCTTGTAGCTAGAAGTCGATAGAATCACAACCACTCCCTAACACCCCTGCTGCAGCCTGGTGCTGATTGCCAGGTGCTCCCTACCACAACGGTGCCTTCCTTGGGTGAACCTTTTCCTATCTTCTTTTACACACCAAGCTTCTCCCTCTGCCCTAAGTAGGCCCAGAGCACCCCACTTCGTCTTCAGGGACTTCCTTGTCCTAACGCGTCATGCCCCAAGTGTGACCCTACAAAGGGAGTGTCCAACAGTGCCTAGTGGCTATGGAATGGGATGGTAGTGTAGTGCTTTTGCACAAGTTGGGCTCTGAGCGTGGGATAGATTCTTGAGCTAACTTCTAGCTTGGCGTGGGGCGAGTGTTCACCCTTAGCTAGAGTTGGGTCAACTGAGTGTGGCTCGACCGGGGCTCCCATTGGGCCGAGAATCCCTGTGTCTTGGCCAAGCAAAGATGACTAGAGTGAGGGTTTTGCCTTTCTTGGCTCACCCTTCTGATATCGGCCTGTCTCCGGCTGCTGAGTCTTACCTTGTTTGCTAGAGGGTGCACGCGAGTGCACCCGATGGGTGTAACCTCTGAGCCCCTGGCTGATTGAGAGAGTGAGCTAGGGGGTTAGTCGGACTGTCGTGCCCTTAACATGGGGACTTAACATACCCCTATGTTAGACTCTCATCACTAGTCCTAAAATGAACAACTAACCTATGAGCCTAAATTGTATTCCTAGTATTGAGTTCAGTAAAACGACCTTTTATTATGGAATAGGCTCTCTTTAATTAGTTAAAATGATCATTACATTACTATGAGTCAGTGGATATGTGGTCTCTTTTGTCCTTGGTCATTGATATCTCAATCCTTGATCTGAGCAATTGAAGCATGTCGGTCTACAAGTATAAAATTATAGCATCACCAAGATATGGATACACATGACTAGATATTATTAATATTTTGGTTTAAAAAATAATTGTTTGACTAAATATAAAAGTTAGATGTACAATCAATTGAAACCAGGACAAAAAGATTTACGACAAGGCCTATAAATATCTAGCCTTGTCCTTGACATCCACTCCATTGAAACATCGTGGTTCAAACAATAACCTCTTGTGTAGTACTCAACCCTCCCACCTCATGGATCCCAACTTCAATAGTGTGTGGAGCACCTCCGAGATCAATATGGTGAAGTCACTCATCACTAGTCACATCACCAACAACACCTACACTAGTAGTGCCCATGACAACAATAACTTTGGGATGCCAATGGAGGCTCCACCCATGGACAACATGAACATGTTGCAAGGTTATCTAATGGATGAGATCGGGGCCACGAGGCGTGTAGAGGGACAACAACATATGCGAAATGTTGTTCCTAAGCAAAGGAGACATGCAGTGAGGTTTTGGACTATAGACGAGCACAGGTATTTCATTTTTTGCACTGATTTGGAAACTTTTGTCACATCTTGAGTGTTATTTTTAGTACAATTAATTAGCATGTGATCTTTAGAAGTTCATACCTAGAGATTTTGTTTTCACAACTCTTTAGAGTATGGATAGGACACCTATTCTTATCTGATTATTAATCTTACTATAGGAATTTCCTCCGTGGACTAGAAGTGTTTGGTCGTGGTAAATGGAAGAACATCTCCAAGTTCTTCGTCCCCACAAGGACACCGGTGCAGATCTCTAGCCATGCTCAAAAGTATTTTCATAAGCAGGAGTGCACCACCAAAAAACAACGCTTCAGCATCAATGATGTCGGCCTCTATGACACACAGCCATGGGTGCAGAACAACCCTTCTAGCTGGGAGGCCCTCACCTTCACTGGCGGTGCTTACAACACAAACTACAATGGCTTTGATGGAAAACATGTTGCCTTTAACAGCCTTGCATGTGCCAGCCAGGCAAGTGTCAACCAGGTAGCTACATGGATTACGGACCAGCAGACAACAATAAGTTCTTTTGTAGCTCCAGTGACGGACGTGAATGGGAGCCAGATGACCAGTAATGGTCATCAACTGGGAGGCTTTCTTCACAATTAGTGGATGGACATGGACAATATTCACTAGTTTTTATCTATGGTTCAATATCCAATGATGCATGTAAAATCTAGTAGGTGAAAGACAATTTATGGTGTTAAGTGTCATTAGTACCATTTGATATGGGCTACTAATAGTTTCATTGCCAGAACAATGCAATGAAATACTATCAATGTGTTATTTCTATACCAATGTATCTGTTTGTATGTGTTAGTTATATTTTGTCTGTCTTATGTCCTTTGTTTGGTATATCATGAACATTACAATGATTGTATATAATTATGTATTGTCATTGTTGGTCATTTTCTTTTTGTAACACCCCATGTCTAAAATCTGCTTACGCTCTAGCTTTGCACATGGAACGGGTCTGTATACGCGTAGTACCTCTCTTACACTTTTGTCCCCGCTTCATGTAAAAGGGTTAACCCATATGTGCAAGTTGGGAGTGACAAGGATTATAAGCTGGTCGTCACCTCATAAACTTCCAAGGTGGTACTAAACCCACCAACTATAAGCACACATGGGCCACATGGGTCAACTACTACATGCTCCTACTAGACTAGGGTGTTACATTCACCCCACCCCCTTAAGGGCTAACTCCATCGATAGCGCACCACACACGCTCAATTTTGGATGGTATATGCCTATTGTAACGACCCGCGATGTTCCAACTGAAGCCTTGCAACCGAAACTCTTATCTCAAATGTTTCAAGCGAAGCTTTATCAGTTCGAGGTATGTAGAGACAATGCACAATCGCGATGGATGAATCAATGATACATCATACCACGAAAACTTCTGTTTATCAATATTCTCTTCTACTGGATGACCACTTGGTGCTCACAAAACACGGGATCTTGATATGCTTGAGTTACAACAGGCTCATATTTATGTACTCAGGAATTGTGACGAGGTCCAACCATTTATAAGGTATTGTTTTTGCTATGTCATTCTTATTCTAACACACTCTTTTATCTTTACCTACTCTTATTATTATTTATATATGTTGAATTGCAGTGAGTACAGCAATAGACAAGAGGGCTCTAAGTTGCAGCCATTTACACCCAAGTAGAATCAAAATTTTATTATGTGGTTTAAAGATAAGGTACATGACAATGTTTTTGTTTTCAAAATAGAAGGTGTGTAAAATTATTTTAGGAGCTTTACGTGATTTATTATGAAAATGATAAAAGTCAACAAGTGGAAGACCTATTATCACTGTCACGGGGTCCTATGACAAACATAACTTGCTTCGTCAACAGCAAGTGAGGCGAACCTACCCAAACATTAGTAGTGACATAACAATCCATAACAGTCTAAATGAAGACAACAATAATGTTCATACATTAGTCAGGAAAACAACTCAAGTACCAGAAGCAAGTTAAGGATGTTATATCTAAGTAGTCTCTATTTAACTGAAAGTTCATGACAATGTATGTCTAAGAAATAGTTTACATAACCTATTGTTTCACTTAACATTGTACTCCTATAGATGACTCAGAACATGGAGGTGCATCGGATACTTTGTTTCATAGGACAGTAAAAGCAAAGAAATCCAAATCTGCAAGTCAGCCATGTTCTTTAGATGCTAGCAAAAATTCAAATGATGAAGAAGCAACAGATGAAAGGCATGAATGGAACAGGAAAACAAAGAAGTTCAAATGTTAGACTCTGGCATCTTAAATTAGTAGAAAATCTATATCAAATTAATTATTCATTATTTACAGTTAGCACGTATGTGTTGCAGCCACCTTCAGTAGAGATGACTATAGGGCTGCTGATCAAGATAGGATGCATGCTGGAAGGAGCAGAGATGACAATAGACCTATTGATTAGTATAGGGCATGTGCTGCAAGGAGTAGCGATGATCACAGGGCCATTGATCAAGAAAACACGCATGCCGAAAGGAGATGGATTCCATAGAGTTCTACATATCCAATGCAGGATGGTATGGAAAAAATACTTATGTTAAACACTTTGTAGATGGACATTTATTTTTTGACAGTGCACGTTGTGACAAAAAATACCAATCATATATGAAGAAAAATCATAATGAGGTGCTAATAACATAATCAGGAATAAGAGTTTAGTGCACATGTTACAATACTCATTTACTAAAAGATATTCCATTTGGACCATTTACTTTTAGATGAATTATCGGATAATGACAACATGGAAACTGAGGAAGTATAAGAGCAGCAGCGACCTGCAGATACATCAAATGGTCTGGACACTAAACCAAGTAACAAATACTTTTCTTTACCAAAATGAATTTCACTCTTCTTCTCTATATGTTTTAGATGGCAAAAAAGTACAGAAACGGCAAGGCCATGGAAGAAACAAATGTAAGAACGTTGCAAAACTAAATGCAGGAGAGAAAATTGAAGTAATGTTCTACAACAATTGGGCTTTATCTAAAACATTCCCAAGATAGTTGGGTAGAATGGTCTATGATTCTAACATTACTCCAATCAGAGTGATGAAATGGACTGATATAAGACCAACAGCTCAAAAACACATTTTTGATGCAATTAAGGTACACGCTTCCTTACATATATAAGTCCAGCATACTCAGTTTTTTCCTTCAAGAATCTTGTACTTATATTGAAACATTGGTTTAATACTTGTTGACACCTAAAGTGGCAAATGGGTAAACTGCAAGCGTATGGTAGTCAATGTAGCCTTCACCGGGTGTATTCTAGGTATCATATTTCCATGGAGAACGTGAAGTGAACTAACAAAGGATCAAGACCGTCCTATGATGATACAAAAGAGCCTATGAAACTTGGGTAGAGAGGATCTAGATAGCAATGATATATGGTAAAGATAGTAGTTATAAAGTGCTGATCACCCACATTGCTTACAGGAGGCGATAGGCGAGACAATAGGGGATGAAACCCTAGCTGAAGCGGGTACCTTGTTAGTAGGGCCCTACCTTTTAAGAACTTGCCTACAACACGTGGTGGACTGCAAAGGCTAGACAGGGCTGTCACCACCTGCTAGCTACCACAAACAATCCATTCAACAAGCGGTCTACATAGGCAAGATATATAGTCTAGGCACCACGTCTACACTATACTTACTACTCTAACCTTGGCCAACTAAGTTCCCTTAGAAAGGCTAGAGCACTCTACTAAAGTAAAGCGGTGTATAGGTAAGAAGGCTATATAACTACTAGCGGAGACATAATATCAAATACTATAAAGAACTCAGATGTATTACTTACTAGAAGATAGCATCCACTGAGGTACACCTTGGACAAGACTCCCGACAGGCCTAGGGCTTTCTCCTGAAGACTTCCCTCCCTCTCTCCCTAATTACATAGCACTACAGCAGAGCTTCACTAAAAGCTACTAGAGAGTGGTTTACTCTAATGTGTCATGAATGAGAGTGAAGTATAGGGGGTATTTATAGCTAGAGTGAAGGGTAGTGCCACATCAGCGATCCAGGTGACTTCTCCTCCTAGCCCTTAGATAAAACTAACCTTGAACTGAACTTTGGTCAAGGGTCCAGATCAAGGAGGGTGCTATCGGTGCGGGACCCACGGGATACCCCGCAAGGAAGAGAGAAGATCTAGTCTAACTAGGATTCTTCCCATGTAATCTTAGTAGCAGTATTATTCTGTAATCCTACTAGGAACTCTCATTGTAAACCGACTAGGACTCTAGCCTCCTGACTATATAAAGGAGGGTAGGGTTCCTAGAGACAACACTTACAATCAATCCAACGCAAAGGCTAACGCTGACTGGACGTAGGGCTATTACTCGATCACGGTCGAGGGTTCGAACCAGGATAAATCGATTGTCTCTTGCGTTAACCGTCAAGTTCTGCATACACCGAAGCCCGAACAAACTGCCCTGGGTACCCCCGTGGCAGGCTATCGGTGGTGAAACATTGACAGTTGGCGCATCAGGTAGGGGCTTTCAACGAATTTGCATCCAAAAGCTCAACGGACCTCGACAACATGATCTCCTCGATGGCATCAACCTTCATCTTCGGTTCATGGATCTGCGAGGCAGGCGATGATGGCAAGCTCCAAAGCCGTCTCCTCGAAGATTCGGATCACCATGAAGATCTTTCTATTTCGGCGACTACGACATATCAACTCGCCGGAAGATTCGCGCAGCTCGTGATGTCCGATCCAACTCAGATTTCGCGGCTTTGTGCATCCGACCCAAACTCAGGCTCTGCATCCGAGATGGAGTCTTACCCGAGTTCTTTCGAGAAACCAAGTTCTTTTCCGGTAGGGTTCCAGAACGCGGCCTTGGCCTATCAAGGATTCAACTCGGAAACATTCAGAGTTCTCTTGAGAGTAGTCCGAGTTCTTTTCCAGTGGGGCTCCAGAACGCGGCCTCGGCCTATCAAGGATTCAACTCGGAAAACATTTAGAGTTCTCTTGAGAGTAGTCCGAGTTCTTTTCTGGTGGGGCTCCAGAGTGCGACCTCGGCCTATCAAGAATACAACTCAGAGTACACTCAGAGTCCTTTCAAGAAGTTAGGTCCTTTTCCGTTCGGACTCCATAACATGGCAAAATCTTATCAGGCATGGCCCGAAGGATCCCTCGATACGGTGCTTAGAATGCCACTGAAAGGAGCTCAGGAAGGTCTCGTACTAACTATAACATCTCAAGACTGCATCGTCCACTGGCCAGGTTCTGTTCCTGAGAATAGCGGTACCCGACTAGTCGGCACGACAACAATAGCAATTCTACCCTACCAAGAAGGAGACTTGATCTATGACCTTGAAGCCTCTACTAAAGTTATCAACAACTCCAATAGTGTGGAAACCAACACCGATAACAAAACAATTCATGCACGAGAAGTATTCATGGTTCGCCATCCTCGATCACCATTGGTCCCCCCAGAAGCACCCGACATTAGGTCATCGGATGAATCTGAGTCCAACATATCACCCTTTATCCAGGGGCACGATGGTGAGACCGAGAATCAGAAGCAAGCCAGAGAAAGAAGAAACAAATTGAAACAAGGACGCCAATGCCGTGCTA